ATAATAATACATATATATATATATATATATATATATATATATATAAAATAAAATCAATAGTAATGCAATGACCAATTTCTGCAAAAGAATATGTCTCAGATTGTTAATTGAACTACTTACTTTCAATTCTCGAATTTGAAGCATAAATTTTTTAGCATAATGAGGCTTGTTTCGATTCAATATTTTATTTTTCTTAAAAATCAGTGACAACACTACTTTTAATACGTATTACACTCCGCCTATTATTTAAAAATACAGCTAAGTAATTAGCAATAAATACTACGCCCTAAGAAGTTCGCCAGTAGGCTTCGTTGTGCATGCGAACGAGAGAGGTTAACAGCAGCGAGATATCTACAGTGAATACTGAGAACCACGCAAGGTCCGAGTGTGAAATATCGTAACGATGTGTTAAAATGAACTAACGTGCAGCGCACGTATCTCCCGCGACAACACCCGCTCCGTAAAGCCCACGCTTCGAGGATACATTCGTCAGTGCAACAAAAGTATGAACCGGGTCTATACCGCGACACTTTAGAGTATTGGCAACAAAATATCGCTTCTTGAATTAAAAAATAACAGATGATATTAATTATTTGCAATAATATTTTTTACTTCATCAGCAATCCTTTTTGTTCAATTCAAATTTTGTATCGTTTTAAGCTTTTAAAAAAATCTAGAAAAATTTAAAGTTTTTTTTTTCCAGTATCTCTATTACATTATCAAATAATTTTTTACATTTTTTTTAGGAAAAAGAACCGAACATTCCTTTATTTCGGAAAAATTTTAAAGTAAAATTTCGCTTGTACCAAGAAAAGAGACTCAGATTGCAGACGGAGGGTTAAAATATCCCGCTATTCGTCGCACAGGTATATTTAACCGAACACACACAATTGGTAGAAAATAGAAAGTGTAGCGTGGAAAACGTGTTCGTGAGAAAGAAAGCGATGACAATTCGATGACTATCTTGCAGTACAAAAACAGTAGCTCGCCTCTGCGATTTCATCCGATATATCGTGTACCTCGAGACACCCGTGTAATTTACCGGTTTTAGCAAAGCTGCCTGGTTAACTATTTCGTTCCCGGGCGAGACAGGTTTCCGCGTGAAAGAAAGCCATCGGAAGACATCGAGATGGGACACCAGGAAACTCATAGTAATCGCGTACAGCATAGTCATAAATTATCCGGCGCGACCGCGACTAAAACGAATTGACCTTCGAGGTCGCGCCATAGAGTGCCGCCGCGACGGGACTAAAGCCAACCCCTCCTCGCCGGGTCACTGTTAATTATTCTCGTGCGTTAGGACTTTAAGAAATTTCACCGAGGTGGGAATTTTTCCACGATCCCGCGAGCGAGATTAGAAGCGGATCGGGAAAGTAGCGTAACACATCTAGGTACGATATCTAGGAATCGATTCAGCCCATCCATTTCCGGAACACACAGCGGAAAACAACAATATGACGCTTCCGCGCTATGTATTGTCCGAAATGTATGTGACCTAACGATCCATCAGCGAGAGTTCTCTCACGTGTGAACACGCGTGAGTTAACGCGCATTCAATACAGAAAAGTCGAAATGCGAGAGGAAAAACTGGCTGGTTATAATGTACTAAAATATCAACAATCGTAAAATTTAATAGGCGCGAAATTGCTCCATTATGCACCGATATGTTACACATCGAAAAAAAATCATTGTTTACGAACACAGCGTTGCGTTACTCTCCGCTACACGGAGATAATATTTCAAATTAAACAATTTAGTACGACGTCTGTATCCGCTACATCGACGCTACATTCAACTTTCTCGTTCACGCTCTTTTCCTCTTATTCTCGATAGATCGAATCCCACGGTTTTTCGAGCGGTCCGCTGGAAGCCGGATGCGGGTGCAAACGCGTTCATTTCTTCCGCTTCTACTCAGCAGCTCTACAAGGCTAGCCGAGTCACGTTCACTTTGCCGAAGCGAAGCGAGCGAGTTTTCCCTGTACGCCTATGCGTACGATCGTACACATAGTCGTACGATCGTATGTTCACATCCGGAATCGCTTAATACATCAGTTTAAACTAACGCTTAATAAACGATCAAGCCCGGTTCTACGCATTGCGCAGCCCGTCATTACGCGCAACGATAAACCTCGTCGTTTCTTTGTCTGTCTTTGTCTTTTTCATTCGTTTCCAATTTTTCTCCCGCGTAGCGAGAGACTTCAACGAGACGTTGAACGGAGGATGACTCTATTTTTCCGCCACGTGCGAATCTCCTTAGGATTCTAATAATCTTGTTGAGTGATTGATTTTTAATAACACTACGATGTGATATCTCTCTCGTTTGTGAAGTAAAAAAATTGCTTTGGTTTTTTACTTTCTGTTATAAATAAGTTGTATATCGTGTATTCAATGTGATTACTTGGAATAATTGTTGAATTTTCCAATGGGAATTATTATAAAAGTGTATCTCTAACTATGAAGAAGCTCAAAGAAGCTAAACATTCTAGTAAAATCAACGTGCAAGGCTGTCGTTTGTCTGAAAAATGTACGGCACAAAATCACGACGTACGCGACTTATTGTCCGTGACTTAGTGTCGTCATTAATTATTTACAATTTGCCGCGACGATTTATTGTCATCTAGTTTATTGCTCGTAGCAGATAATGATAATTGTAATTGACCTCAACGGCCTTTAAAGATCGCGAGTGACTTAGACAGATCAAGACTGTCGTAG